GTGAGGTAGGAGGTTGTGGAAAAACTATTTAATTTTTTTTTTTGTTTTTGAGATAGTAATACTTTAAACTTTAACTTTTAACAAATATTAATAGTTATTTAATTTTTATTAAGGTGGAGTATTTTATTCATGTGGCAATGTTTTTCCAAATAATTAAAGGAGAGTGTATTACACACACTATTGAGGTGTGTTTCTCAAATTAACAAGTGATAGTTTATATATGAAAATCACACTCCAAATAGTTTAGCTATGAAAGTAAAAAAAAAGAAAGAGTTTAGATGCGTTTGATTATTGTTTTAAAATCAAAATTTAAAAAAAATATAAACTTGATTAAAAGGAGAAAAACAAAACACATGTAAAATATTATAATTTGGGTATGTCTGATCTAACAAATTTTACTGTGCTTATTCGTATTTGGAAAAATGGGTTAATCTATGACAATGTAGCACATTTTTTTAGAAAATAGAAGGATAAGGTTTATTTGAATTTTCCAACTATTTATAGTCATATTAGATATATTTTCTTTTGAGTATAACTCATAGAGATAATTATGTATTGGATAAGGATATAACAATATTTGCATCCAATATTGAAGTCTATCTAACTGGCAATGAAAAATATTTACATCACAACTAAACTAAGCTTTCACAATGATACATAAACTTAATAAATATAGTTAACATATGTATGTATTCATTATGTTCAAAAGTTAATTGAATAATTATAATTTAATGCATACGAAATCAAACAATAATTTAAATCTCCTTTTTTTTTAAAAAAAATTCAGTACAACTAAAACACACATGTTTGTCTTCTTTTTATTTTGCTTTTAAATTTTTAAATATCCAACTAAATATCTTGATGAATTTAGGTTTTTGAATTTAAAATAATTATAACTGTCTTTTACCGTTAATCATGCTTTGGCTCCTTAAATTGTGTATACTACGTACGTAATTAAACTCTTCATTAATTATGAATTCAACAAACATTAAAATATAAAAATCTTATTGACTTAAATCTAAACTCAGAAAATAAAAATACTTTTGATAATTATAAGATTTTTTATCTTCTATTCACATAGATTTGATTATGGAGATATAGCAGAAGGAGGAATACATTTCATTAAAAAAAAATATAATAGTTAATACTCAATTTTTAAAGGTAACATGACTTAGCATGTTCGAACAACACACCAAATATTAAAACAAGCACTAAAAAATAATACTTTAAATAGTCGCTAAAACAAGAAGTTACTCTTCTTTAATTTCTAAAAATGCCAGCCCCATATGTTGAGGAAATGAGAGCAACAAGGAGGGGAAATTGCAGAAGCACAAATGAAGTAATGGGTAGGCAAGCCATTGTCGCGACTGGTAGAAGAACCCATGCTTTCTTCTGCCCATACATGATATACACCGTTGCACTGAAGCTAATAATCATGGATGTTATGGAAAGAAACAGAGTTAGCAGTCCCAGGATAAGACTCCTTGGCAAAGTATGTAGGAAATCTTCTTCTGCATAACGAGACGTCAAAACTGACAAGAACACCAATAGAGAGGTGCTAGAAGTGAACAATGAAGCTGCATTCGAGATTGCAAAAATGATGAAACCAATGTTTGCAGAGAAAATGGGGAGTCCACTTTGTTGGTTATTGCCACCTGGTACTGTGATTGCTGCAGCAAATGCGATGGTAGCAATCAGTGCTGCTGCAATTGTACATGAGCTTGATGTGTCTTTCATCCATTTCTCTCCATCTACTTTCAACTTCTCATGTTCCTCAGTAAATACCACATATGGATCTTTCATCTCAAGATTTAAGCGTTTCCAGAACGTAGACGGGACTATCTGCTTTACTTCCTGATTTATATATATACAATGTAAGTCGATTAATTAAAAACAACCACCCAGAATGGTTGGATTCATGCCTCATATTAAACAACCATTCAAATGAACAAAAAAGTGGAAAATCGAAATTTATATGCAAAAAAGCAAAATCTGCAAATATATGATAGTTCTACAGAGTACACACTAGGCTGGAGTGGTACATATCTAAAACTTAAAGAAGCATTACTAATCAACAAGGCCTTTGGTGAGAGACTATTATGTCCAATAATATAGCATGTCCTATCTATAACATGCACATATATTTGACATCAGTATTTTATGCAGCAAGACTTTTCAACAACACATATATAACTTGGACGTAATGGTATAAATTTGATTGGGGTACAAAAGTTAAATCACCTTAAACCACTGTAGTTCTTGTTGCATCTGAAAAGCTGGTCCAGAGACAAGATTTAGCTTATTTTGTGGTGCCAACTTTCCAGCCAAATCCAAGATGGTATTACCAGAGGAGTCAAAACAAATCACCAAATTGTGCAGAAGCGGGCTCATCTGACAGACCAACTTAAACACATTTTTGGAGCGATTCTCTACTGTAATGTGCAAGATATTCTTCTGATTATGATCATTATAATAAACTAAATAAGGGAATCTTCTGAGTATAAGGTCAACAAGCTCATAGTTGTCATAACACGCTGCATCAAGCAGAGAATTGCCAGCAATAGAGTCAACTTCGTTGTAATTCAGATTTGCTATTTTCTCGCATAAGCATGCTGCATATTTAACTGCATTGTGATGAATTGACTTTTTGTCTCGGACGTGTTTCAAATGAGGCACTGCAACACAACAACCCAAAAAGACAAAAAGTACAAAGAAATTAGTGTAAGTGCAAAACAGCAACTCTTAAATGGTTTAGAAAATATGTGAAATCCGTAGGCATATATAGATAAATTTGCAAAATTAGATGACTTGTATCTGTTGGACAAAGTGATAATCATTGTGGGCTTATGTTCTTTTTTCTCTTCCCATGTGGATAAATAAATAGGGGAAAATAAGCAAATATCCCATAAAAATAAAATAATTACAACTATATACCCCTTTACATTCATACCCCACTAAATAGTTACACTATATGCCCCCTTACTAATTTCGCTAGGCTGATAACTTCGCTTAACTAATACTAAATCAGTAGATATATATATATATATATAGTAATGGTATCATTAAGGTTTCCTGTTAAGAAATTACTCATTAGTCAATGATACTATAATAGTATATATACACTCTTATAGTATTATTGACTAATGAGTAATTTCTGAACAAGAAACCTTAATGATACCACAATAATATACATATATACTCTTATAGTATCATTGACTAATAAGTAATTTCTGAAACCTTAATGATATCAATGCAATATATATATACTGATTTAGCATTAATTAAGTGAAATTATCAACCTTAATGATACCAATACAATATATGATACTGATTTAGTATCAGTTAAGCGAAAATTATCACCCTTAATGAATGGAGTGTGTGGACGGTAATTATTTATGAGAGAATGGGTATTTCATGAATTACTTTGGATTTGGGTATGAACATGTAATTATTTTGGATTTATGACTCATTTATGTAGTTTTCCTTAAATATAAAAATCTTATTTGAACCAGCCCACTTTAGCCCATAAACCCAATATTATGTGGCATATATAAGACTTATTTAGGTCTTATTTTCACAAACACAAGAAAGGAAAATCAAGAGAGAGCCGTTTTAGAGATTGAGAGAAAGAAAGAAAAACCCTTTTTTGCTTCAGGAAATTTTTTGCTAAGGCAGTTCTCTTCAAACAAAGTTTGCCACTTTGTTAACCGTTGGATAGTGCTCAAATTTCAAATGGGAGTTCTCAGCATCTGGTTCTTGCAATGCAACGGTGGAGATCAGATTTGGTGGTCCGTAGCTTCCGATTGTGGGGAGTAAACAGTAGCTCATTTTTGGCTGAATTATCTCCTTCAATTCTCCAGTTTTGGTGCAATCTTGTTTCGTTGTTGCTCGTTGTTTGGCACTTGTTTTGTGGAAAATTTTGGAAATCAATATTGTAAATCTTTGTGTTTATAGTGGAGCTTTTGGTCCTGTGGTTTTTTACTCTTCACATCGAAGGATTTTCCACATAAATTTTTGTGTCTTGTGTGATTGGTTTATTCTTGTCTTATTGTTTTAGTTTGGTTGATATACTTGTTGTCCATTCTTCATATTGCTTGATTTAGCTTGTCTTCTTTTTTTTCAAATTGAAAGGAAAAGTTAGACTTGGGTATTATTCCTCTGTTATCCTACCAGACATTCTTGTTAGTGTCTTGTCTTTCCCAACAAAGTGGTATCAGAGCATTCAGTATTGTTGATTATTGATTTGAATGATGGAGGAAATTATGAGCTAGATGGTTAGTTTGAATAATAGTAACTATCATACTTGGAGAGGCAAGATGAAAGATCTTCTATTTGTCAAAAAGATGCATTTACCTATGTTTGCTTCTGATAAACCCCAGTCCATGACAGATGAGGAATGGAAATTTGAGCACTTGCAGGTTTGGGGCTATATTAGACAATGGATTGAATATAATGTTAGAAATCACATTATGAATGAGACAAATGCCAGAAGTTTGTGGGACAAGCTTGAGACACATTATGCTTCGAAGACTGGCAATAATAAGTTGTTTCTATTGAAATAATTGTTGAATATCAGGTATAAAGAGGGCACTCTTATTTTTGATCATATTAATGATTTTCAGGGTGTTCTTGACCAGCTATCCGGGATGAATGTAAATTCGATGAAGAGATACAAGGACTTTTGCTTCTTAATACTCTGCCAGACTCTTGGGAAACTCTTCAAGTTTCATTCGCTAATTCTGGTCCTAGTGGTGTTGTAACTATGGAATATGCTAAGAGTGGTGTCTTGAATGAAGAGATAAGAAGAAAATTCCACGCCTCATCTTCTTCAACTTCACACTCCGATGTTTTGGTTACTGGGGAGAAATAAGTTCAGAGGTTAGAATGACGGAGATAAAAATAGAGGTAAGTCAAAGTCTAAATACAAGAATGTTACATGTGACTACTGCCACAAGAATGGGCATATCAAAAAATATTTCTTTAACTACAAAAGAGATATGAGACAACAAAAGAAAGAAGGTGATAATGAAAATCGTGATGTTGTTGCTAATGATGCTCTTCTTGTTTCTTGTGATGAAAATGTCGTCAATCTTGTTCGCGATGAGTCTAGCTGGTTTGTGGATTCCGATGCTACTTCTCATGTCACGCCAAGGAAGGAATTATTTTCTTCTTATACTCCAGGTAATTTTGGGATGTTGAAAATGGGTAATAATAATGAGGTTGCAGTTCTTGGTATTGGGACAGTTTGTTTGGAAAGTAACAATGGTTCCAAACTAGTTCTCAATAATGTCAAGCATGCTCCAGATGTTCGCTTGAATTTAATTTTTGTTGGATACCTTGATGATGAGGGTTATGTTAATACCCTTGGTGCTGGCCAATGGAAGCTTACTAGAGGTTCGATGGTTGTAGCCAGTTGTTACAAGTTGTCTAACTTGTACGTTTTTTAGGGTTCCATTTTTAGAGGCTCAATAAATTTGGTGGAGAATAATACTTCATCATAGTTATGGCATAGAAGGCTAATTCATATGAGCGAGAATGGGATGAGCGATTTGGCTAAGAAGAATTTGTTTTCTGGAGTGAAACAAGCAAAGTAGAACAAATGTGTTCATTGCTTAGCCGGTAAATAGAAAAAAGTTTCTTTTGAAAGTAATCCTCTTTCAAGGAAGCTTGATTTGCTGGAGTTGGTACATTCTAATTTTTGTGGTCCTTTTAAGGTAAAGTCTCATGGTGGTGCACTTTACTTTGTGACTCTTATTGATTATCATTCTCGCAAACTCTGGGCATTCTTTTTGAAGTCCAAGGATCAAGTCCTTGATGTGTTCAAGAGTTTTCAGATCTTGGTTGAAAGACAGATAAGGAAGAAATTGAAATGCATCCATTCTGATAATGGTGGTGAATAGATTGGTCCTTTTGATAGATATTGCAGAGAGCAGGGTATTCGGCATCAGAAAACTCATCCAAAGACTCCTCTACTAAACCATTTAGCAGAGAGGATGAACAGAACTCCCGTTGAGAGGGTTAGATGTATGCTTTCAGATGCTAAGTTGCTAGATTCCTTTTGGGCAGAAGCACTTAATATTGTTACCTATATTATCAATTTATCTCCTACTGTTGCTTTGAATGGTGATGTCCCTAACAAAGTTTTTTCTAGGTTGACTGTTTCTTATAATCACCTTAATTTTTTTTGGTGTAAAGCATTTGTGCATGTTCCTAAACATGAGATGTCAAAGTTGGATGTTAAAACTAGGCAATGTGTAACACCCCAAAATTTTTTGAGCTAAGACTCCAACCATTCGTCATTGTGAGTAATATTTTAGCAAGGGATTTAAATTTCCTTAGGTGTAAAGGTCACTACATGTAGCACTTTAAGTCCCAAAAAGAACTAAAGAGAAATTCATTCAAGTCAACCGTAAGTTCTTTTAAGTTTTGGATCAACTTCAAACGATAATAACTTTTAGCACATAATGAGATTCTGTGTATTAAGGTTCTTGATGAGTTTCTTGAGGTTTTAGCATCATTCCTTGTTAATGGAGTCTTGTTGAGTTCTTGAGGTGAGGATCTTGCAAATGAGTGAAATACTTGAGGGATTTCAAGTAGATTTTCATGCACTTGGGTTAGGTTAATGAATCTAAGAAAGTTGGAAAGAATCCATTCGATTTTAGGTGTATTAGGACCCAAAATCGAGAAGAAAAATTCGTTGGAATGTTCTGGGGAGGGGATGGCGTGGCATGCCCCAGATATACCAAGAGGATGGCATGGGGAACTTGCAGTGCGCCAGGGAAGGGGTTCTGAAGTTTAGGGGTTGGCACCCCGCTCCACTCAGTGCGCCAGGGTTGCCAAGTCCCCTACTCTTCCGTCCTTCTTTCCATTTGAGCTCTATTAAAATGTGCAATCGATCACTTCTTAATTTTAACCATCCAAACTACATCTAATCATCGAGAAATCCTATATATCATAATCATGATCCTTGAATTCATAATTCAAATTCGAGGTAGAGTTAAGAGTCAAGTTTGAAAAAGTCCCTTTGAGTTTTTTCGAGGAGTCTTCTACAATTCCTTATAATTTGTTTCAAGACTCGAGTAAGTGAGTATGAGAATTAGAAGAGTGTATTCATGAGTCTACATTATTATTGAGATCCTCGAGTCGTTCATGCCCATAATTCTGCATGAATTCCATAAATTGAGTATCTTTGAGAGGAGTAGTATCTTCAGGTTCTTAGTTCTTATTATTGAGTTCCTAATCATTTTAAGATTATATTCCTAATTATGGGACTACCATATGTTATACATGAAGATTCTTGATTTGATCAGTCGTTCATTCCCATTATCCCGCATGAATCCTATAAATCGAGCATTCTTGAGAAGAGTAGTACCTTTGAGTCCTTGAGTTCTAGAGTTACTAATTTCTGAGTATTGATTCTTATATATGGTTATTGAAAACCTTGAATTGAGTCGTTCACATCCATAGTTCGGCATGAATCCTATTTTGAGAAGTCTTTTACAATTATTTATAATTTGTTTTAAGACTTGAGTAAATGAGGATGGGGATGAGGAGAGTTGAGTCCCATATATTAGAATGAATATAAGGGAACGGAGTATTCCCAAGCATGTAATACTTTTACATTTACAACGAGAGAAACATTTTTTCCTAACTGAGTTTATGAGGAGTATTGAGT